AAAGTGGGTGAAGGGAGACGTCAGACAGTGTAAGATATGAAAAAATAATAATTTATAAATTATCAAGGGTTCATAGGAAGGGGAGTGGGGAGTTAGGGGAAAACGGGAGCTGATGCCAGGGGCTTAGGTGGAGAGCAAATGTTTTGAGAATGATGAGGGCAGTGAATGTACAAATGTGCTTTACACAATTGGTGTATGTATGGATCGTGATAGAAGTTGTATGAGCTCCGAGGGAGGGGAAAAATAAGGACCTAATGCTGGGGGCTTAAGTGGAGACTAATGTTTTGAGAATGATGAGGGCAATGAATGTGCAAATGCGCTTTACACAATTGGTGTATGTATGGATTTTGATAAGAGTTGTATGAAAAAAAAAAAAGAGTTGTATGAGCCCCTAATAAAATGATTTTTTTTAAAGTTGTATGAGCTCCTAATAAAACTATATAAAAAAATTTTAACAACAACAAAAAAAGTTTTCTGAGGTTAAAAAAAAAAAGTTCTCCAGCTTGCGGCCCCTCTAATGCAGACTTGGGGCTAACCTGCCAGTGAGCGCCCAGAGAAGTCCCTGCTTTAGATGAAGATGTGACTGGAGAAAAAAGGCACTTCAGAACACTGCTGTGCCCAGTGAGCCCCTACTATACCCACCCTTGTCAGTGTGCTCTTGGGGTATGACCTGGGCAGCTAGACAAGAGAGTGGGGGCTGGGTGACACTAGAGGACCAACCACCACCTGGTGACCAGGCCAGGAGATAAACTTCTCAACCACTGCCCACTGCCACCTTCCTCTGCCAAAGGTCTAACTGCCCTCCCTGGCAGTTCCCACCCACCTCTGACTCCTTGTTTATTTTGTATACTTTTTTATATTCTCACCATATTTTTAATGCTGCTAATAAGTTATACACTGTAAAAGGGTAAATTTGCAAATGTGTGATATATTTACAAAAAATAAGTGTTAACGAAAAGAAGAGGAGTAATTGCTGAGACTGCTTGTGTACAACCAAACACCTCATAGGGTCTGGTTCCTTGGTTTGGAAGTTAGGGTCATGAATTCATGGGCCATCCTAGTATGTTAGTCTAATAACATGTTTAGTGTATTGTGTGGTTCCTTGAGCCTTCAAATCTTGGAACAATTTGTCTCTTCATCTGAGCAACAGAGGCAGAAGGAGAAATAGGAATGGGAGGATCTGGAATGGGAGGCTGATTGCCTCCACAAACAACTACCTCCTTTGCGCTGAGACCAGAAGTACTAGATGGCGCCTGGCTACCATTACTGAACATTTTGAGCAGATTCCATAAAAGAATCCTGACCAAAAAGAAGAAAATGCAAAGCAGGGTTTAATATTCTTACGGACTTTGGACTTTCTGGAGCATGGAAAGTGAATAAACCCCTAGAGCAGTGGTTCTCAACTTTCCTCATGCTGCAACCCTTTCATACAGTTCCTCATGTGGTGGTGAACCCCCACCCCCACCACCATAAAATTATTTTCGTTGCTACTTCATACACTGTAATTTTGTTACTGTTACGAATTGGGCGACCTCTGTGAAAGGGTTGTTCAACCCCCAAAGGGGTCGCAACCCACAGGATGAGAACCGCTGCTCTAGAGCTATTGCCTTAAAGCTAAGCTTTAAACCAGATGTCCTCAAACTATGGCCCGTGGGCCACATGTGGCCCGCCGAGTGATTTTGCCCCGTTTGTTTTTTTTACTTCAAAATAAGATATGAGCAGTGTGCATAGGACTTTGTTCATAGTTTTTTTAAAACTATGTTCCGGCCCTCCAATGGATTTGAGGGACCGTGAACTGGCCCCCATCTAAAAAGTTTGAGGACCCCTGCTTTAAACCCTAAAGCCATCTTAAACCAAACAGCTTCACTAGTGAAAAAAATTTCTGCCAAGAGCATTATCCTTTTTTTTTTTCTAATTTCATTTTATTGGGAGCTCTTAAGATCTTATAACAATCCATACACCCATTGTGTCAAGCACATTTGTACATAGGTTGCCATCATCATTCTCAAAACATTTTCTTTCTACTTGAGCCCTTGGTGTCAGCTCCTGAGCATTATACTCTCTTAAGAGCAATCCATATGGCATGACAGTGACAAGAGCACCTGGAAAGATCAAATAGGTACGTTACGGGCCAGGGAGTCTACGTGGAAGACGGAGAAACTACTCAGAAAGAGAGTGAGGGTGCTTGTACAACTCAAGGAATGGAATCGGTGTCACTCAATTGCACATGTGGAACCTGTTGAACTGGAGTATGTTTTACTGTATTTACAATACAGTAACAATAACAAAATAAAATGAATAATAGGAAAAAGGAGGAAAAAATTTTAAGGGCACAGTTCCACTCTTTCCCTCGTGGCACTGCCATGAGTTTGAATCAACGGTCAACAACTCGTAACTGAGCCCTAAAGACCAAGCTCTAGGGGTAAATTTCACCCAAGGACCAATTGCTGGAAAGAGCATGAAGAACACAGTATCAGGATAGCTTTTCAAATGTAGCAAGCTCTTTGTCTAACAAATAAGTTTGCTTAGTTAGCAAATCCCCAAATTTAGTATTTGTGTTTTTTTCAGAAGGTGAAGCAGCTAAAAAGGTTAATTTTGGGTTAGTCATGTATAAAAGGAAAGAGTTTATTTTATGGGAAGGATATTTGGAATCCAGCCCTTTGCTTTTTCCTCCCTAGGAATTGCCCGCATTGTGGAGACCCACCAACCAATAGTGGAGACCTACTATGGGCCCGGGAGGCTTTACACCCTGATCAAATATCTGCAGGTGGAATGTGACAGTCAGGTGGAGAAGGTGGTAGACAAGTTCATCAAGCAGAGGGACTACCACCAGCAGGTGAGCAGGGGAAGAAGGCTTTGGAAGCAACTTTAGTCAGCATTGTTGTTATTTTTTTTTTTTAATATTAAATAATTTTATTGGGGCTTGTACAACTAACTCATCACAATCCACACATACTTCCATTGTGTCAAGCACTTTTGTACAATTGTTTCCCTCATCGTTCTCAAAACATTTGCTTTCTACTTGAGCCCTTGGTATCAGCTCCTCATTTTCCCCCTCCCTTCCTGCTCCCCCCTCCCCCATGAAACCTTGATAATTTATAACTTATAATTATTTTGTCATATCTTACACCGTCCGACATCGCCCACTTCTCCGCTGTCCGTCCCCCAGGGAGGAGGTTATATGTAGATTAGTCAGCATTATTAACAAATTAAACTGAAATGTTTTAAGTAATAAAGGTGCAGAAGCAAGAGAAATTAATTATAGCATTAAACTGGCCTACGTTTTGCCTGTTGCCAATACACTTTGGACTTAAGGTGCTGAAGAGCTACTCATGGCCTCAGTATAAGATTGAGAGAGAAACAGGAAGGGCTTCCTGAAAGGAACACAAAGATTTGACTAGCTCTTTGTCACTGAAGAATCTTATTGATTCACGTCCTCTTAAATGTCTAGACATTTGGTTCAGGGGCTCTTGTTTGACCCCATTGGTCGATAAGCGTCACTACTAAGGAGTTTGCCAGAAGAAAAAACTTGATAGGCCAAAAAACCAGCCACTACAAACCTTGTGGAGAACAGATCTGTTCTGACACTGGATTGCCATGAGTCAAAATTGTCTTCAAGGCAGCTGGTGTGTTTCTGTTTGATTTTTTTAATTGTCTCAAATTTCCCTCTAGTTAAGTGCTTAAAGTGTTTGCTTTCAAATAATAACAATGTTTGCTTTCATAGAACTCAATTTCCCCATTTCTCCAGGGAAAGTGAGAACAGGAATAGAAGTACCTACATGCAGTTTTATTTCTAGAACTCTAGCCTAGGAGAGACACTAGACAGCAGTCCATCACTTCTAAGTGCAGTAGGGAGAGGAGCATTAGAATCTAAACCAAAGTAAATTGTTGGTCTGTCACCTTGCAAGTCTGCCTGTGGCTTGTAGGAAAGGGAAGCTGGGCAAACGCATGAAGCCTAAATGTTATTGCATGCCAGTTTGGAATGCAAGAGGCAGGCACAGGGGAGTGGGCGACAGCATTCTCGTTTCTTTGCTATATTGCAGTTCCGGCATGTCCAAAACAACATGATGAGAAATTCTGTAACAGAGAAAATTGAACCAAGGTAAGAATCCTTCTTCAACTCTTAGGAGTTGAGTTGGTAATGTATGACTTAAAGCTTCTTTGATTACATTGTGGTCTGCACTTTTAAAAGAATCTTATTGTGTTTCTTTTTTATTATACATACAAAATTGTACATATAATGCATTTGTGGGCCCTGGACCATTCCCTAGAGAAGGACATCATGCTTGGTAAAACAGAGGGTCAGCAAAAAAGAGGTGGCCCCTCAGTGACATGGATTGACACGGTGAGTGCAGCGGTGGCACTCAGATAGCAATCATTGTGGGGGGGGTGCCGGGCCAGGCAGTGTTTCATTCTCACACAGAAGGTTGCTCTGAGTTTAGGTCAGAACCGACACAATGGCACCTAACCACACATGCAACTTGCAAATAAGAATTAAACAGCCCCTATGCCAACCAGCTGTTTAAGAAAGAGATCAATGCCAGTACTTCTGAAGCCGTAGATGCCTCTCTTCCTTCTCTCCTTCCCTCTCAGACACTTGTTACTAAAAGAAAATCGACTGGATGGTTTGCTGCTGGATCCCCAATAACAAGGATTAATATCTGGCACGTAAACTACTCAGTGAAACTTGTTAATTCAATGAATACATTTTTACAATGTTTGAATTGTCTTATATGTATTCTTACTATAAGAAAGGAAAAGCTAAACGTTTGGGGAGAATGGTGGTTCCTTCCAGGGGAGGAGAAAGAGTAAAGTTGAATCAGGAAGGGTGAGTCCTGCAGCTTTGTTTTTCAAGTGTTTGGCTAGTCCGAGTCCCGTGAGTCCCCATAGGAATCTTCAGATCTCTTTAGAGACGTCAGCTGGGGTGTGGTGGGGCTTATACTGAAGAGCAGAAGCCTTACAATTACTGGAGTCATTAATCAATTTTTTCTTTGATGACTTACGCTTTTTGTGTTCACAGGACTCTATCTCTGCCTATTCCGAGGTTGCAAATATCTTTTTCTTATGTTTTCTTTCAGAAGTTTTGCAATTTTGAGTTTCATATTACGTCTCTGATCCATTGGAGTTACTGTGTGTGACAGGAGCTTAAGGGCCAGTGTTTGTTCTTCCTTGTGAACAGCAGGCAGGATTGTTTTTTTTCCCATTTTAAAAATCTACTTTATTATATTTAGGTGGCAGCATTTTTTTTTTCTCTTCTTTTTTTTAAATAATTTTATTAGGGGCTCATACAACTCTTACCACAATCCATACATACATCAATTGTGTAAAGCACATCTGTACATTCACTGCCCTCCTCCTTCTCAGCAGGCAGGATTTTAAGACTGGAATAAGTCCTTAGAGCTCATCCACCCAACCCCTTCATTGGGTTTCAAGAAAAGGATTGTCCAGGTCCCACAGCTATGTTTGTAGGATTCCAAAAAGTACAGATGCTGGTTCTGAGAGTTCTTGTCCAGCTTAACGTACAATTCTGAATCCTCGAAACTTGCCACTAAACCTCTGGGCGTCATATGGGCACCACCTGAGAACTTGTGAGCAATGTCTGAGTGTTAGCAATCTCAGGCCCAGCCCTGATGAGGGGGATCAGAATCTGCACCCTCTCCCGCTGCTGAGGTGATTTGTGTGCACAGGGGAAACTGGGGAGCACTGTTTGCAGGGTGCAAAAGCATGGCTCTTCTGCCTCAGCACCCGAGGTGACCCTGCTATGTGAGCCCTGGCCTAACTCCTGCTGCTGGTGTCCCAGGGAACTGGACCCCATCCTGACTGAGGTTACCCTGATGAATGCGCGCAGTGAGCTGTATCTGCGCTTCCTCCGGAAGAGGATCAGCTCGGATTTTGAGGTGGGGGACTCCATGGCCTCAGAGGAAGTAAAGCAAGGTAAGCTGGGTCCCTGTGTCCTCTGAGAGGACTAGGCTGTGAAGTGCTCTCTGTTTTTATGTCAGTGAAGCCACAGATCTCTTAGAAGGAGAGCTGGACTTGTTATCCTCTAGGGATCTGTGGGCAAATGGCTCCCAGGAGGAAGCCCAGGCTGACTGCATTTTACAATCAGACTAGGTCTTTAAAATCCTCTTGCTATTTTATAGATGGGGAAAACGGATGCCTAGAACTGTTAAGTGATCATCTTGTGTGCTTTTTTTTCCCTTTCCACACCATGCCTTTTTGCCAGCCCTGATGTAGGTTTGTTGATTGAATAGGTGGTATGTGCACTTAGTAAATAAATCAGTGAATCATTTAAACAGTCCATACTGGGATACTTGACTGCAGGTGCATGTAGGGAAGCTCCTGGAGTGATGGGCATACAGAAAGCTGAATTGTGCCATGATTGTACAGCTCTCCAATGTTACCAAACTTAATTAGTTCAACATATAAAGTAGGTGAATTTGATTACATAATTTGTGTTTCATTAAAGTTTGAAAAAAATAAAGTCATTTACCTCCTCCCCCAGTCTTCTGTTTCCTCGAACCACAATTGTGAAGAGATAAATGATATTGGGGGTGAAAGGGGATGTGTCTGCCCTGCCTAATTTCATTTATACGGTACCTCTTCAGGTTTTTAAGGTCATCTAACTCATGCCAGGGAGATATATGCAGGGCTTCTTGAACGGGGAGCTCAGTACGACCACAGTCTCTATGGTATTATTCGAGGCTTATAACACATGGCCTAGTACTTGTCTGCCCCAGGTGGTGCTGCCGTGAGTTAGTGTGTAAAGGATACCTGCTCCGCTGGAGTTGGTGCTCATTCCATTCAGAATGACCTTCACTGTTCAGAGCTGGGCTGCCCAGTGCAGTAGCCACCAGCCACGCGTGACCACCGAAATCAATGAAAACTCAGTACCCTGTATCACTCAGTCCTCGGGCACATTCGCCACATTTCAAGTGCTCCCTAATGGCTAGCAACACCTGTATTAGACAACACTGTTCTCAATATAAAACAGTCCATCCTTATTGAAAACTCTATTGGACAACACTAATTACTGAATGAAATGCTCCATGCACAACATATTACAGTTCTGCCTGTCTTTTAACTCCCATTAATGACTTTTTTATTACTACTAAATGCTTGTATTGGAGGCTCTTACATCTCTTATCACAATCCATACATTCATCCATTGTGTCAAGCACATTTGTACATATGTTGCCATCATTGTTTCCAAAGCGTTTTCTCCCTTTAATGACTTTTAAGGATATAATAGAAAAGAAGTAAAAAGTCACTTGTATAAAAACGTTCACTGAAATCTCCAAAAATGGCAAGTTATTTAGTAAACCAAATGTCTAAAGAGTTTTGTTTTAAGTATTATCTATCTGATAAAATATCACACAGCTAAAAAAAAATATATATATATCACACAGTCATTATAAATAAGCAGCCTAGGAAGAAAAAATAATTTGCAAGCTATATAGAAAGTGGGAAATATTTATAATGTACATTTTAAAAGCAGAATACAAAATTATGCCTGTCCCATGAAAACTATGTGAATTATGTGCATGTATGGAACACAGATGACAAAGGAGTTTGAAAAAAAAGTTGCTTTATTTCCTTTTGGGAAGAAGAGTGAGTCTTCTTTCTTGACTGTCCCTTAGAGCATCAGAAGTCTCTGGACAAACTCCTCAATAACTGCCTCTTGAGCTGCACCATGCAGGAGCTAATTGGCTTATATATTACCATGGAGGAGTACTTCATGAGGGAGACTGTCAACAAGGTAGGACAGAGGGCAACGCGCCCTTAGAAGTCGGGCTTCCTGTCCAAGAAGACTGTGTCAAGGAAGTGACTAAGGCACCCTGTCTCTGGGCCTGCTCTGAGAGTCTTTGGAGGGTTGGAAAGCATCTTTGGCATTGTCATGCTCTTTGTGTACCCAGCTGGGATTTCATTCTCATGGAGCACAGACCACACCTCCACTCCTCAGGGAGTCTGTGCTTGCTACCTCTTAAGGGAAGAGCCTCAGCAAAGAAAGGGATCCCCCGATGGCTTATGGACTCAGGTGACAGGCCCCCAAGACATAGGCCTTCAATACCCAGTTTCCTAATAGTAATCAATAGAGACATGAGCTATTTTGGCAAGGAAGATCCGCTCCAAGCTGTGATCAGAATAAACCATGTTCGGGCCAAAATCAGGAGAAGGCTTAGAAGAGGGAACAGCCAGGGAACATGTAACCAGAATGATCTCAGAACAGAGGTCCTCACTGGGTGCTTTGCCTTTTGGGTAGGCTGTGGCTCTGGACACCTATGAGAAGGGCCAGTTGACGTCCAGCATGGTGGATGACGTCTTCTACATTGTGAAGAAGTGCATTGGAAGGGCTCTGTCCAGTTCCAGCATCGACTGCCTCTGTGCCATGATCAACCTCGCCACCACAGAGCTAGAGTCTGACTTCAGGTAAGCTTGACTCTCTCCATGTTAGGAGGCCGGAAGTCTAGTATGATTCCTGAGGCACATTTATTCCCTCTCCCTCTGATTCTAGCTCAGTTTATACTGGACAAAAGCTTGCTGTCCATAGCACAACATCCTGGCTCTGGGAAATTGCCCAGCAGTCAGATAGATGTCTTCTGAGTCACGTCTCTGGTCCTTGAGCTGGATTGGAGAGGGGATATTGGCATAGGAAAGAGAATAGGTAGCTCAGCCGAAGGCAATAATAATAGTAGCAGTCATAGTTACCAATGCTGCCAGCTAGCCAATCTGTCCATCTATGCTTTCACTTCATCGTCCAGTAGAGACTGTTAGCTCTGTTCTATAGACGAGGAGGTTCCACCACTTCTCAAAGGTCACGCACCTCATAAATGGTAGAATACGGAATAGAGTCCATAAATGACTAACTCAAAACCTGTCCTCTCAGGTCTGATATGGAACTGCTCTTGAGCTTGTTTTTGCTCAGTGGTGGTAACTGAAGGTCTCTCAGGGTATAAAGACTAGGCTGGGCTCCTCTGTGTGTTTTTGCCACATCTGGTCTGGAGGCTTATGGCTCACTCTCCTAGCCTGGCTCCTGAAGGGCTCCAACACTGATCTCTAGAATTGCTTATTCCTCCACAAGAGTACTTCCTACGGCTGGGTCAGCTAGTGGGCACATGGGTCCTGCAGTTTGGGAAGCCAGCTTGAATGCTGTCAGGCCTGACCCCAAATGCCATTCTACCCCCAGGGATGTTCTGTGTAACAAACTGCGGATGGGCTTCCCAGCCACCACCTTCCAGGACATTCAGCGTGGGGTTACGAGTGCCGTGAACATCATGCACAGCAGCCTCCAGCAGGGCAAATTTGACACAAAAGGCATCGAGAGCAATGACGAGGCCAAGCTGTCCTTCCTGGTAGGTAGCCCCACAGGAAGGGAGCTGGGTTGGTGTACTTGAGAGGTTAAACTGACCTCTAAGCCAAAGTAGATTCAGCCTGGAGTGTGAGGTATTTACTCAAGTGTTTGTGTAGAAAGAAACTTACCTTTAAGGAAAGCTCCTAGAAGGTTCACAGACCATTTTGTACCTACACACCCATCTCTGAGCTACCTCAGCCAGGACCTGTACTGCCCAACGATTCAAGGCAGTGCTGAATATCGAACTTGGCGTACACCAGCCAGTGAACTCACTGTAAGGTCTGGGCCAAATGCCCAGACCTCCTCTGAAGAGAGCCCCACACAGCATGAGTGGTCGATTCCTTAGGCCTACCAGGGCTGCTTTCCCAGCACGCTGCCTAGGCTTTGTTTCTTTGGCATGGGTAAGCTGAGGAAAGCCCTTGGCTCTCCATGAGAGCTATGGTGAGGCAGTGAGTCTCACAATGTGGGACAGCTGGCAAAGGAGAAGCATGGAAGAAAAAACGATATAGACAAAGTAACAACCAGTTTGAGATGAGTCAAAAAGAACACGTGTCCCAAGTTCATATGGTCTCCCTGGAATGTACTATCACGGGCATGGCTGGAACAGTGCCTCCAGAGGGCGATCCATTCTGCTCTTTGCTCACACTGGCTCAGCTCTGGGACTCCTTGGCTCCTGGGACTCAGAGTCGGAAGGAAGCATCCAATTGCCATCATCCACAGCAGGGGTCTCTGGACGCCCTGAGACTGGAAATGAACGTGTGTATGGAAATGAGGTCTTTAGTTTTTCTCAGACTCTTCAAGGGGTCTGTAATACCAAAGCATTAGGCTTGGTTGCTGGAGGCCTGGAAGATAAGGCCAACCAGGAAGGGCACAAAACGCTTGCTGATCGGTTTCCAGTTTCCCGACATCAAGTACTTAAATTGTCATCACTCCCAGCGCAGGGCTTATTTCTTTTGTCACCTTGGCACATTTGGCTGTGGAGGTGAATTCCCCCATTGTTCTGACACGTCATTCACAGTCATTAGGATAAGCTCAGCACATCCATGATGTACTTACAAGGACTATCAACACGAGAAACTTTGAAATTGATACCATTTGAGCCCAAATCCAGCTTCCTCTCATGACAGAATAGTCTTGATGCCTTTAAGTACCTTACAAACATTTATTTTGTGGCTTTCACTAGTCCTGACACACTAGTTATTACTCTGCTGGTGTCAGCAGGCTTGTGTTGTAGCACACTGTAGGTTTGGGGGTTACAGAACAGCCTATGCAAAAAACCAGCCTGGCTTTTTAAGTATTGAATGCTCACAGGAAAAGTACTCAGTCCCCACTGTTCTGATTCTTCTTCCACCCTGAAATCCAAAACCTGCTACCTCCCTGCTTACAGGCTGCCCCCTTTCTGTCTTTCTCCTGCCTTCCATTCATGCCACCAACACACCAACTCAGGGACAGGATGATCCTCCCCACAGTTCCATATCCCTCCCTCCCTCTCATAGCCTCCACATTAGCCTGCCCAAAACACAGTGCTCACGTGGACTTAGGAGTATATTCAGCTATACATCTGTGATTTGGTTCCTTGGTTTAGAGATTCAGGGTCACAGTTTCAGGGAACATTTGAGTTAATTGGCCTAATAAGTTTAGTTTGTTGCACTATGCAACAAACTGGTTGTGTGTGTGTCCATCATTCAATAATTGAATAATAATAATGACACTTGTACATATGTTACCATCAACCTTTTTTTTCCCAAAACATTTTTTTTTTTTTTCATTTTTTTTTTTTTTTAATTAAATCATTTTACTGGGGGCTTGTACAACCCTTGTCACAATCCACACATACATCCATTGTGTCAAGCACATTTGTACATTTATTGCCCTCATTATTCTCAAAACATCTGCTTTCTACTTGAGCCCTTGGTATCAGTGCTTTTTTTCCCCCTCCCTCATGAACCCTTGATAATTTACAAAATTTTTTGTCATGTCTTACACTGATCTATGTCTCCCTTCGCCCACTTTTCTGTTATCCTTCCCCCTGGGAGGGAGCTATATGTAGATCATTGTGATCGGTTCCCCCTTTTTCCCCCACCTTACCCTCACCCTCTTGGTATCACTACTCTCATTATTGGTCCTGAGGGTTTTATCTGTCCTGGATTCCCTGTGTTTCCAGCTCTTATCTGTACCTGTGTACACGCTCTGGTTCAGCCGGATTTGTAAGGAAGAATTGGGATCATGATAGTGGGGGTGGGGGGAGCACTAAAGAACTAGAAGAAAGTTGTATGTTTCATCGGTGCTATACTGCTCTGTGACTGGCTAGTCTCTTCCTTGTGACCCTTCTGTAAGGGGATGTCCAATTGTCCACAGATGGGCTTTGGGTCTCTACTAAACAATCCCCCTCATTCACATTGACATGACTTTTTGTTCTGGATCTTTGATGCCCGATACCTGATCCTGTAGACACCTCATGATCACACAGGCTGGTGTGCTTTTTCCATGTGGGCTTTGTTGCTTCTCTGATAGATGGCCGCTTGTTTACCTTCAAGCCTTTAAGACCCCAACGCTTTATCTTTTGATAGCTGAGCACCATCAACTTTCTTCACATTTGCTATGCACCCATTTTGTCTTCAGGGATCATGTCAGGAAGCTAAAGCATCATGAAATGCCAGGTTATTAGAACAAATTGTTCTTGTGTTGCAGGAGTACTTGAGGCCCAATGTATGTATGCTACCTTGATACTTAACATGCAAATATATGTACATAGATTTATTTCCATATCATTATATATAAATATATTTACATATGTACATGTCTTTGTGTAGACCTCTATAAATGTCCTAGTTCTTTCCTCTTATTTCCTTTTACTTTCCTCTTGTCCCAATATCATGTTTGGCCTTCATTTGGGTTTCAGTAATTCCTCTTGGCTACATTGCCCGTACGCACAAGCTTTTAAGATTCCAGTTACAAAAAATAAAAAGATTCCAGTTGATACTCACCAAAGTAGGATGGCTGATGTCTTTGTGGACTATTTTATTTCAATTGAACTAAGTGTCTCCAAGACCGTGGTTGCTAACATATCCTTTTTCCTGAACATATTTATTCACTCATTCAGTTAATAAATGAGGAACTTCTATATATCAGACACCGTTCTAGGTTCCAGAGTTGAGTGGCCCAATTTGGTTGCCAGTAGCTATACTGTACCTATTTAAATTTACATTTAAAATTCAGTTCCTCAGTCCCACCTGCCATATTTTAAGTGTTCAAGAATATGTCTATCCTCCCAGAAAGTTCTATTGGCTATGGTACCCTACTACCATAGCAGTCAAGAAGACTGGGGAGGGAGGACTCATGGGGCTCTGTCTAGAGATGGAAGCAGGCAGCAAGCAAGGTGATACTGGCTGGTTCTAGGTACTGTGGAATAAACAGCAATGGGCTAGAGTAAGGTGACCAGATTCAAAGCGGGACACCATTGATGGGGTGGGGGGGGGGGGGGCTTGATTAAAAATTTGGTCTATATGGACCAAATAGACAGTTTTCTAGCTTGTCGTGCATTCTTTCCAAAAATCGGGACTACCCCACCAAAAGCAGGACGTCTGGTCACTTTAGGCTAGAGAGAATAGGGTGAAGTGACACACCCTCATGTCCTCTCAGAACATGATCCAGCCTTTCAAGTTCAGTCACCAGCTCTGCCATGCAGCTTTTCTTGAATGCCTAAGTCCAGTATGTTTTTAATTTCCTCAAAGTACTCATGGCAATTTGTGCCTTAATTGCCACTTTTACCCCATGCCGCTTTTTATGATTGCTATTTCCTTCAACAAGGTGACTTGGCACAGTCACTGGCACAGTGGGCTCTGTCATAGTTGGGGCAGGGCTGGGGAGTGTTGTTGGTTGTACCAGGGACCGCTCGCTAGGAGTTGGAACCAACTCACGGCACACGGCAACAGCAACCATTTTTGTACTGAAATTACATTAGGAACCTAGGCCCACGCCCAGGCTTGCCTTGGAATTGTGACTCTAGCTCTGGGACCTTGTCACCAAGTTTTCCTTCCCTCGGTTTGCATTTCACATGATCTGCTGCATACATGAAGGGGCATCACAGTTTATGTGAAAATGCCATGGGGTTCCAATTCTGGTTTTCCATGGACTTTTGAAGCACCATCCTATATAATTAATGATAATATGTACAAAATTATTTGCGATCTGACTTCCCTCCTGATACTTTCAGGGAGTAGATTTTATCTGTTTTGCTCACTTCCTTCTCCCTAGAGTCTAGAATAGGCTGCTGCCTAGCAGACGCTCAGTGGATATTTGCTGATTCCCTGGTGGGCTGCACCTTTGGAGGTATCTTATATCCCTCTGTGAGATGGACTTAGTCATGCTTATTCTCTGGGCTGGTCAGGAGAATGTTTCTCAGGTGCCAGTCTGAAGCAGCTTTTCTTGAAGGAACATCAACCTTGTGTCACTGGCCTGGGCTTGGAAGATTGGAGCTCAGGGCTCGCAAGGCTTGTGAACCAAAAATGCCTGAGACCTGTGGTCACTTTGCTGCCATGGTGTCAGGCACAGCAGGAGGAGACTGGCCACCACTCTGCCAAGCCTGTTGGGTGACAGTGGTGTGTTCTCCTTAGTCTGAGTCTGAACCCAGGTAGCCCCCGAGCCGCATGGAGTGTCGCTGCCAGCAAGCCTGGCATTGGAGTGGGCAGCAGGTCATGTTCTTCTGTCCTCATCTCCCAGGTGACTCTGAACAATGTGGAGATCTGCAGTGAAAACATCTCTACTCTGAAGAAGACTCTGGAGGTACGAGAAGAATAACCTACCCACTGCAGGTACCCAGAGGGACTGCCCATGTGGGAAGAACTCAGGCCAGCCCATGCTGGAGGTCTGAAATCAAAGTAAACCTTCCAGCAAATCTTGGACAAGACCCTTCACAATCTGAGCATCAGTTCTCTATAAAATAAGCGTGGGTTTCTTATAATAGAAAATAGAGTTGAAGACACTATGAAAAGTGAAACCACCTCTATTAAGATGAAGTCAAGTTCACCAGAGCCCCCACTCAAAGCTGGTTGGTCTAATCACTTCTGAAAGGCAGGCAGGCAGCCTAGTCTCATCGCTAGACTAGACTAGATTCTATTGGAACCTGTTGGGGCTTGGAAATCAGAGATCCCTGGGCTCTGATCTTCATTTGACTGTGGCCAGCTGTGAAGTGGTAGGCAAGTTTGTAACCATCTTGAGCCTCTGCTTTCTTCTTGTTTATAAAATAGGGGTAAGGATCTCCACCCCATAGGGTTGTTGTGAGAATTGCCATTGAGTTGATTCCTGCTACGGGCTAGGAGAGCAGTCTGGGAGTTTACAGTAGGACAGAGTCCCAAGTGGGCCCTGCGGGCAGACACACCTGTTCTACTGTAACCAGCACAGCACAGACTTTCAAAGGAAGCTCCTGGCCGCCAAGGCATGGCGAGCTTTAAGCTGTTCCCTCTGCCCTGAGCAGGGCCTGGCACAAATACACCTGCGTTGTGATTGTGACTGTCTATCTCCCTTTGTCAGCCAGACCAGAACATTAAAAAAGCAGGAACCAAGTTATTCATTCACAGCCACCATCCCTTTCTGACATTGCTCAATTCTCACAGTCATGGGGGTGGGCTGTGTTCCCAATTTACAGCCGGCACAGTGAAACTGGGACACACTAAATCACTTGTCCAAGGTCAGGCATCTCACCCACGACTGAGCCAGCATTTGAACCTAGAAATATCTGACTTAAGTCGTGAAAGCTTTTCTGCTCTGTCTCTTACTCACCTCCTCCCCTCGGATTATAAAGCCGGCAGTGAGACAACTGGCTAGGACAGATGCAGGTTTTCTGAAACTCCTCCAGGGCTTCTGCCTCAAAAGGCCCTGAGCTTCTGGCAGAGAAGGCCAGAGGAGAGGGCTGCCTGCGGGTTGGCCTCCTGCTTCGAGGGTTGCTCAGAGCTGGTGTTCTCCCCTAGAGCGACTGCACCAGGCTCTTCAGCCAGGGCATCGGAGGGGAGCAGGCCCAGGCCAAGTTCGACAGTTGCCTTTCTGACTTGGCTGCCGTGTCCAACAAATTTCGAGATCTCTTACAGGTAAGCCCCAGGTTCTTCTCCTGCCACATCTCCTAATGGAACCTGTTGCTCTGAGGCAGCTCCACCTGTGGGCTCCATGCTACACAGGGAAAAGGGAGAGACTAGCCAGCCACTGAAGAGTGAGATCCTTGGAGAGAAAGGCTCACTCAGTTTGTCCCATCAGCTTGAATAAGCCAGGGTCTGGACCCCCCCACAATGCCAAGATGGATGCTCAAAGGAAACGGAGCCACGTAGTTACTCAGACCCGCTGCTGGGACCTAGCAACAGTGCTGTCAACCACAGCTCTCAGAAATCTTTCTCTAGGGCCTCAACTCTGGCCCCAACCTAGAATCAGTGTAGATCTGGGAAGAGGCAGGTGTTTCCTTTCCTCTGAACAGAACTTCTGCTGTGCTCCAGGCTACAAGAATGCCCTGTAGACAAGGAATGAAGGGAGAGGAGGGAACTGGGTGGGTGGGCACTTGTCTCAAATGTCTGCCTTGTCCTTGTGCAGGAAGGCCTGACCGAGCTCAACAGCACAGCAGTCAAGCCACAGGTGCAGCCCTGGATCAACACTTTCCTCTCCGTCTCCCACAACATCGAGGAGGTCAGCCTGACCAGAGGCAGCAACAAGCCCAGGATCATCCCTTCCCTCACCCTCAGTCCAGTTCCCTGCCTAGATTGCTTCTGCAGTCTTTAGGGCTCAGCGAGAGGCATCTAATTGGGGTTATTTTTGCTCCAGGAACCCCTGGTCGTAGTATGGGTTACATAATAGGCTCCTAATTCCAAGGTCAGCAATTTCAAACCCATCAGTCACTCTAGAGGAGAAAAAGGAGGCTGTCTACCTCTTTAAAGATTTACAGTCTAAAAACCCTGTATAAAGTTGCTATTGGTTGAAGTTGACTTGGTGGCAGTGGGTTTCATCACAGATGTACAAGCCGTTTTCCTAGTCCCGTGCTTTCCTTCCTGCTGACTGGGAAATACCACCATACAATTTGAGCCACTGCTGTGGCCCAGCAGCAGCAACAGCAGCAGTTTCTACGTAGGGGGCCCAAGCTGGCTTTGAGCTGGATTTGTCAGCAGCTACTGGGCAAAGAGGCCCAATTATTTTCCTGGAGGGGTGACAGTGAAGGGTACTTCTTAGAGCAAGGGCCCTGTGACCCACCTTGTTTCTGATAATAGGAAGAATTCAACGACTACGAGGCCAACGACCCTTGGGTACAACAGTTCATCCTTAACCTGGAGCAGCAAATGGCAGAATTCAAGGTGAGCAGGGCCTTAGGAATCACCCACCTCTGCCCAGGCCAGCAGCTGCCCCTTCTCATCTTAGTCCTTCTTGGGACCCTGAAAGCTCTCCAAGCCTCAGCCTACAGAAACACTCCCCAGTGGCCTCATGTATCTGCCCTCACCCCCAGGCCCCCCACCCCCACCCGTGGAAGCAGAGATCCAGAAATGACTCCTGCTACTGTCTCATCTCTTGGCAGGCCAGCCTGTCGCCTGTCATTTATGACAGCCTGACCAGCCTCATGACCAGCCTTGTTGCAGTTGAGCTAGAGAAAGTGGTGCTGAAATCCACCTTCAACCGGGTAAGGTCATGTTCTCTGAGGAAGAGACCTCCAGATACCCCAGTTCTTGCCTCTCTCCTATCCCATGACCTCTGAGGCACTGGAGCAGGCTGATCCTGGGACCACTTGAGGCCTAGCTGGCTGGGCAGCTCAGCCCTGGAGGCATTTCTGCTTGTCCACATAGCCAGTGTTACCAATTGAATGTGTTATAAATCGCTCATAATGTGTTTTAAATCCTGACCTCTACACCTGTGCTTACGATCCTATTTGGAAGTGGGTTATCTTTGTTAACGAGGTAGAATTCATGTGTATTTTAAAGTCAATCTCCTATAGGGTCACCATGAGTTGAAATTGACCCAGTGGCAGTGAGTCCCTTACCAAATATAAAAAGCAGGTTAGGACAAGCGAGCAGAGATGGAGAAGGAGAGAGGCCAAGACAGAAGCATAGGCAGCTCAGAGAGCCAAGGACCTTCCTCTAGAGTGGAGAGCCCGCACCCGGAATCCAACTCGCAGCTTCCTCATGTTCTCCTGCAGCTTGGCGGTCTGCAGTTTGACAAAGAGCTGCGCTCGCTCATCGCCTACCTTACCACGGTGACCACCTGGACCATCCGAGACAAGTTTGCCCGGCTCTCCCAGATGGCCACAGTCCTGAATCTGGAGCGGGTATGTAGGGTGGGTTCCATGGTTCAGCTCCCTCGGCCTCCCCACCCTGTGCACAACAGCATGGCCTACAGGACGCCTCTTCCCACACGCACTTGCACTGCGGTTCCTGAAGCCTCTCCCTCAGGCTGGCCCCTCCCGGCTAACTGTTCTGGCTTTCCCACAGGTGACCGAGATCCTGGACTACTGGGGTGCCAACTCTGGTCCCCTAACATGGCGCCTCACCCCTGCTGAAGTCCGCCAGGTGCTGGCTCTGCGAATAGACTTCCGCAGCGAGGACATCAAGAGGCTGCGTTTGTAGCTGCCGGGCCAGCCCACCTGGGCCAGGTGGCTTCAGGGTCGCTCTTGAAGCTACCTGGGGGAATTCGGACAACTAGGACCTGCCACAGCAGGGAAACAGAGGCCTGCTGCTCCACTCTTTTACCCTCAGTCCTAGCTGGATGCTGTTTCCTCAAAGCCTGAAGCCCCCAAGAGGGGCAGGCCAGCTTTGAGGGGGCAGCACTCCCTCACCCTCGGATACTGCTGCAAGCAGGCTGCCCCTGCCTGCCTTTAGGAGATTTGAAAATTGGGTTAGATCCATAATGTAAGGCTGTAATGTTGATAGTCATCCTGAATAAAGATACTCCTTTGAGAAGGGCCAGTCCTCTCTCCGGTGAAGCCTGGGTACTACTGGGCAGGACAAGTCCACACTTGCACAGAAATATGAAAGAAAAAGGCCTGAACTTCTGCCATCTCCCGTGCCCAGAAACATGCTGCCTCCAGGGACCTGTGTGAAGTCACCCCACCCTCTTCCCTACTCTTGGAGCCTCAGCAACAGGGCAGTTTCCTGCAGGCCAGGATCACAAAAGACAACCTTGAAGCCGGGAATTTATTCCAAGAATATCAGACTCCCCACCGGCCCTGGGTGACACAGCACCTCCTGTGTCGCTGGCAAGACCTGGGTTAGCAGTGGCTTGCTGCAAAGACCACACTGGCTCATTGCCACTCACCTCGTGCCCCATCAAAGTGACAGCTTTGTGTGCCCAATCAAGCTGAGCGTGAGAAAACCGCGATCTGCCCTGCAGTTGTGGAATCCTGGCTGAGACGGTCAAGGCAGAGGCAGCCCCAGTATGGGTGGCTTACTGACCATAGCCTTTGACAGTGGCTGGGTTCTAACCATATCTGCAAAGTCCTAGCCAGAGAACACCAACCTTCCTGCCTCCCTCTGTCCACACCCTGAAGTGTTCTAACAAAATGTTCAGGATCTGGCTGCACTGAGGCCTTGTAGGCTAGAGGGGGGAGTGTGGGCCAGGATGCCTACACTCAGAAGCCAGAGCACTAGAGAAAGCACAGCAGGGTCTCAGGAGTCAGCCTCAGCCACCTCCTGAGGGACCCAGCGGAGGGAGGAGGACACAGACCAAGTGAGGCCACAGGACTTACAAAGGCCACCTGGGATACTGAGCCCATGACTTTCCCAAATCCCTAAAGGGCTAAGGCCAGGCAAGCCTAGCCTGCTGCCAGCCTAGTAACAATCCTGTTCCTAAGCCCTGTCAGCGGCACCAGCTCCAGAAAGGCTGGGTTGTGTCTCGGTGGCTTCCTTTAGAAGCAGGTTTTCCCAGGGGAAGGGAGGCAGGGCCACTGCAGCAATGGGTTCTCCCTGTGCAGAGAAGACTTGTAGGAGTGATTACGGCCAGGTTGTCCCCTCCAGCAGCTGCAGACTCAGGCCTTGTGTGTCCACCTCTACCAGGTGAATGCTGTAGTTCCCAAGACCCTAGGAACAAAGAACAAGAAACAATTTGCAAATCTGAGGTCTTCTAGAGGCTGGGCAGAGGCTACAGGAATAGCCCTTGGTTAGATGGTGGGCCCCCATAGTCTGCTGTACCCCAATACCTCTGTCTGGGCCAGCAGCGCCTCCAGAGTCTCCTTTTGCCGTGGCTCCTTGGTCAACAGATAGAGGAAGCCCCCACCACCTGCCCCAGCCAGGCTCTGGCCATGCACGTGAGGTGCCAGGATGTCCATCATGTGCCGTACGGCCAGGGGTTCACACCCTGGAGCCATGAGCTTCTTCTGTGCCCAGTACGAGGTCAGGTACTGGCCCAGGAGGGGCAAGCTTCCTGGGGTGGGGCAGAGGGGAGAAACCAGGATCCTCACTCTGCTTAGTCTCTGACTGAATGAACAGCCAGTACGAGTCGTGATTAAGAAGCCAGGGTCCAGTGCTGGTTGGAGAATAGGAGTCAGAAAGTGTAGCTCTCAGCCAGCCTTGAGGGTTACTTGGCCTAGCACAGCGGCCACCATGTTCCACCCATAGTTCTCAGAGACTGCAGAATGCAGCAGGAGTCCTGCTTGCCTCCCCCCTCCCTGGACCTCAGCTGTGGGCCACACCTCTTCCCACTTGTTCCTGGTGGAAAGGTAGAGCCTGGAGGGCCTCGCCCATGATACAAGTTTGGGCCCCAAATGGCTCCCAGCCAGGTTGGAGGCCCCCAAGAGGTCAGCCAAAGGGGCTGTACTCCCAGAAGTCCTGGTTACAAGTTCCTGTCCAGTGGCCTAATGTCCTCTGAGAGCACCTGATGCCCAGGGAAAAGCACCCACCTTGGCGAAAGGCATTGGCACACTCTTCAGTCTGCTGCACCAGGCTGTGAGCATTCTGCACCACAGCAGGCAGCCGGGCGTACCAGTTCCGCAGCACATCCTGCACATGGGGCAAGAGGGGAGCTGAGGGCTGGGGCCACCCAGCAGCCAGAGTCATCTGTCCCCTCCCTCCTGGGCCGGGCTCACCTGCAGCAGGTTCCGTGCCAGGCGGGTCTTGCCAGTGTACACCAGCAGCAAGTGGTCATTGAGCGTCTGGACAAAGCCCTCAGGCACAGCGAGCTCCTCCACCTCCACCTTCAGGGGCAGCTGTGCCCGGGAGCGCCCCACCTTGATGCCCGGCACCAGACCACCCACTTGGTCCTGCCAGCCGCCTCCTGTGAGTCCAGAGCCAGTCACTGCGGAAGTCTATCCCAGACCCGATTCCTGGCCTGCACCCCTAGCAAGGGCCAGCGTGGGAAGACTGCTTCCCTTAACTCCAGCTGGTCCACTGGGCTTGGGAGCAGGATGACCCCAGCAAGGGACAACTCTTCCCTTGAGCCTGGAATTCACAAACAGCCACTACCGTCAAGTTGATGCTGACTCGTAGTGACCCTCTCGCACAAAGCGGAGCTGCTCCATTGGGTTTCCAGGGCTGTAAAAACTCTACTGGGTTTACAATTTACTCCCCCTCAGTGTCTGGTGGGCTGAACTACCAACCCCTGCGCTTAACACACTGCACCACAGGACTCCTTTGGGGGTTCAGGTGGGGCAGGTACTATTTCAGACCTGCTGTATAAATGGAGGTGGGATAAGCAACACAAAGGGTACCTCCCCGCTTCCCTGGGGAGCTGGGGGGGAGCGGGGGCAGGGGTGAGGGTGGAGAGGCATCCCCGCCCTCCCTTGTACTCTGGCTCATCAAGTGTTGACTCGGGACGTTGTTCAGCATCTCTTCCCCAACATGAGGTTGTTTCCATATTGTTTAATAATGAAAGGTACAGACCCTTCCCTGAAACTGGGGATGGTTCTGGGACCTCTGTGGCGGTTAGGGACAGGGCCAGCAAGATGGAAGTATAATGTGCAAACAGTAAGTGGCACCTGGAACTTGCCGGCCAGAAAATGGTGCCCAGAGCCCCCAGTGCCCAGACCTTGTGAACACACAGCCAGGTGCAGCAGGAGCGCCATCGCTAAGAAGACATAAGCGTCTTGCAGCAGAAACGCCGCACACTGACAGCCAGCGCAGTAGGTCAGAATCGGCACTCCGATGAGGGTAGTGAGCACAGTACGGGCAGCACAGTTCCGAGGCTGTCTGCAAACCTCACAGACCCAGGGAGGCCGCCACCCTCTTTACCCCCACCCAAGGAGATACCTGTGGTGAGCACCTGCTCCAGGTGCAGCACGGCGTGGATCAGGGCCTCGGTGCTTACTGCTTGGCCGGCAGCCCGTTGCAAGGCGGCCAGGGCAGCGCCCGCCAAGATGCTGCTGGTACCTGCAGGAAGTGGAAAGTGCCAAGGCAGAATGACAGCGCCCTGCTCAGTCCTGCCCCACACTCCTCCTCAGGGCTGGGCAGCAGGGGGCAGGGCTACTCACCAAGGCCAGAGCCATGGGGCAGCTCAGACCAGGCGTGCAGCTCAAAGCCACCCCCAAAGGCACTCAACAGCTGCTCGCTGAGCGGGTGCTCGGAGCAGACCCGCACGATTCCCGCACAGATGAAGGCTGCCTTCAGCAGTGACGCTGTGGAGGGACAGACCAAGGGTCAGGAGCGGCTCTCGGCAGAAGCAGACCCCGCACCCCAGCACAGAGCCAGGCTCATCTGAGAGACCAAAGCCAGCAGCACGTAAGCTACAAAAGGGCCTCTCAGCTCCAAGTCACAGGCTGTTCCCATCACGAACTAGCTGTCATCTGTACAATGCCTGCTCCTACATGAGCCTTGGCAGGTGACTATTCCCAACCCCGCTTCTGCCACAGCTAGCTGTGTGCTGCCCCACTGCTGACAGGCAGGGCAGCCCTGACCTGGGGCATGGGGCTGGCAGTAATCCCTCAGCTCATCCAGGCTCCGGCACATGAGCTCCACTGCCATCTGGTCCCGCCGAGGCCCCACTGCCAGCCTCAGCTCTGGCTCGGGGATGCGACGTGCCCTGGCTCCGATGGGCCGGCGGCCGTCCACTCGCACAGCCAGGCCCAGGACTGCCCCACCATGCTCGTAGGCCAAGGGTGGTGTGTCACTCCAGCCACCTGCAACAGTGTGACAAGATCAAGCTGGTCACAGGCTGCCAACCCGCTTCTGGGGTGGCCACTCTCACCCCCGGCCTCAAGAGGGCTCACCGGAGAAGTCCACACGGGCGGGGCACTCAGCCATCACCCACTGCCCAGTGGCTGGCAACCCCACTGGCTCCGTGGAGACAAAGCACTGGGCCGACATGACAGCCTGCCGAATCAGGATCTGCTCGGCGCCCTCATAGTGGCGGGCAGCGCGCACCAGCAGGGCTGGCCTGCGAGAGGAGAGGAGGGTAAAGTGGCTAACAGGGCACCTCAGCTTGGGGCAGCCTGCCTGGGCACCCTGCTGCCCTGGGTCATCCTAGAAGTCCCTCCCTCTACCCCACCCCCCGCCCGTTCTTTGGACCTCAGTCTCCGAGGATGACCCACACTTGCTTCTCAAGAGGGTTCCACTCCCATCAGCACCCACCTGCTCAGCCACTTGTTCCGCTCCTGGGCGAGCGCCTCCACGCCTCCCGCCAGGTCACCGGCCTCCAGATAGGAGAAGGGCCGGGTCCACTCTCGGTTGGCAGCTGGGCCGCTCCGCAGGCCTCCACAACCCCCGGCCATGCAGCCCAGCACATCTGCCACACAGGCCAGGGCCCGCGCTGCCACGCCAGGGTCTCGGGCAACAGCTGCAACTGAGGAACCAGGAACAGCAGGTAGCTGGGGAGAGAGTCCAGCCCAGTACCCTGTGCCCACAGAGAAGCCAGCTCCTGGGCAGCTCCAGACCCCTCCCTGCATCTCTCTGTGCTCATCAGTGTACTGCCCACCCCTCTACCTGGCCCAGTTCTCCACCCCACAGGGACTTAAGCAGAGGGCTGGGATCAATGCCAAGGCGCCTGCATAGTCGGGGCAATCTGCTGGCCACAATCCTTGGGGCTCGGCCCTGACACAGTGCAGGGTCTGCTGATGCTCTGACCCCATGAAACGTAAACCCTCAGTGCCTCTCCCTGCTTGAAAGTCACCCATGGCTCCTTGGCACTCGGCTGACAGCACGGCACTGGCTCCGGGCACACCCACCATGGTCCAGTGTGGCCAGCAGGGGCCCAGGGCAGCCCTCTCGGACAGCAGCTCGGATCAGTGGGCGCAGGCTGAGGTCCTGCCGCACCTCCAGTACATGCCGCGCCTTCAACAGGGCCTGGCGGAAGAACAGGTCCCGGCGGGCAGCCAACGTTGCAGCTCGGTCCAGGTATGGCTGCAGCTGCTCCCAGGACAGGCGCCAGGTGGCTCGCCAGGCCCGGAGGGCCTCACCCCCGTCCTCCTGGGGGTTCAGCATCCACAGCAGGTCCTGGGGCCCCAGGACCCTCGAGGGGTACAGCACTGGGAAGAGGCGGGCGCTGAGGAGGCAGCGCTCTGCTGGGGGGGTGTCTGGGTCCCACAGGTCCCAGTCTCTGATGGGGGAGAGGACATATGGGAGGGAGTGAGGGCTCCTGCCCGTCACCAAGACCAATCCTCCTGTCAGAGGGGGTGGGCTAGGGACAGGGCGCACTCCTCAGTTGCTGAATCGGACACACGGGAGCTGCTGACTCAGGACAGGTGCTGCTGCGCACATTCTCAACAGAAAAAGGAAGTCAAACAGGCTGCCAAAGTGGGGACCATTCAAGCCTCGCTTCCTCTCCCAGATCTCTGAACAAAAGTCCCCCAGAGCCTGAGCACAGCCCAAGGCACGGTGCTGGGGAGAACCAGACTGCCTCCGCTGGATGGGCAGGGATGGGGCTCAGGGAAACTGCCTGGGGCCACAGAGACCACGGGCACCAACGACCTTACCGCATGACCACCTTACC